TTTTTACTTTCTGTGCTTTCATAACTATTTTATAGTAGATAGACTATGAGTAGGGAACTAATTATTTTAAGTACAAGTTAAGTAGAAATATTATTCATTAATCTTGATCATTACATGAAGTGTTTTATTGAAATTAGGCTTTATTTAAACAACAATTGTTCTTCACAATGTCTAATTTGTCTTTCTTTGTGTGTAATATTCCAAGTTCTTTTCTAGAATTAAGGCAGAGTTCAAGTACATTGAGAGAGATTGAAAAATGATTGGTTTAATTTGGTTTAGTCAACTTGTATTCAATTCCTTCTGTGGACATTTCTTCAGTAAGTAGCAGGAAAGCATACAGAGAAAGAAGACTCAAACTCTATCCCCAAGGTGAACAAACCATGCAGAGTAGAGGGTATTTAATGTGCCCTCTTAAGGGTACATAGGGCTTTTATGTTAATTTTTTTGGCAGTACTGGAACATGAACCCAAGATCTTGCACTTGCTGGCTGGTGCTATATTATTTGAACCATGGCCCCAGCTGCATAAGGCTTTCATGATGCAAACAAAGAATAGACTCTAAGTTACTTCACATAGGAGACAGTATGAACAAAGGCAAAGAGCTCAAGGGAAAGAGCTAGGCTAAGGCAAGCAACCTGGGTCTTAAGTAGTCTAAGCCATTGTATATAACACTTATAGAAAGGCAACTTACTGTAATGGAGAATGTTTCAGAGACTGGGGAACCAGAAGAGTAAGCCACCATTAATCTATAGGAAAAATTTTAATGAAAATTTCCAGAACAAATTCAGTGGCAGTCAGTTGGAGACAGACTACATTAGTTTTGACATGAGTACAAGACTGGAACATGAAAAGACCATGATAGCTTTCCAACACAATTAGCATTGACTTATAAGCCAGTGGCAATAAATTATAGCTTACACCAACCACATCTGGTCCATCACTTATTTTTGTATAGTGCTTCAAGCTAGGAATGATTATCATAGTTTTAAAGGTTGAAAATAAATAAGAAGAAAAATATTTTATGACATGTGAATGTTACAAGACATTTAAATTTCAGTCTCCAGAAATGAAATTTTACTAGAACACAACCATGCTCATTTGTCCATGGCTGCTTTTGTGTTAGAATGGCAGAGTTGAGTAGTTGAGGCAGGGAACCCTTAGTCTGAAAACCCTGAAAGAATTGTTATGTGGATCACCACAAAAAAGTGAATTGAACTCTGGCTTAAGGCAACAATTCCTTGGAATAACTAGTTTATAGAGATCATGAACATGTTTATTAAAACAGCTCACGTGGACTGGGTTGCTGAAACCTGGGAACTCAGAATAATCAGCACTGCTTACCATTAATAAGAATGAACAAAGAATTAGAGGCCCACTGTTGATGAAAACATCGTGGTGGTGTTGTACAGGGACTTTTTTTTTTTTTTTTGCCAAGCTTCCTTTGAAGTACTGTGAACCTGAGCATATCATTTCCCAGTGAGTGCCACAAAGCTTATTTGCCTTTTTGCTGTTGCTGCTTTATTTTTAAGCAGTACTCTAAAAATGGCACATTAAGAAGTGATAATGATAATGCAATGCTGGATATATTACTTATTTTCTGATAATTTAGGGCTAAAAATACAAACCTGCACATAAGCTCCCATATTCCCCTAATTTGTCACTAATTATACACATCATCTCCAAATTAAACAAAATATATAGTAAGAAAGCAATTTGATACACTGAAGATGTTAGAATTTAACAAGGCTGTGTTAAGATGAATTTAGGTTTAGATAAATTTCCACAGGTAGAAATAACGTTTGGACAAGTGTCTGTTTTTGTGCAGGAAGGTGTTAATTACACAAGTGTTTGTTGATATGTAAGATGGATTTATTCCTACATTTTATTGAAGTTTTTTGAGAATGTTTTCTAACCATGTCTAATTTAAAGCAATTTAGTATTGAGTCACTTGTTAAGGAAAAAAAAGCAATTAGAGAACATGGTAAATTGTACCTCAGTAAAGGTAAGGGGAAAAAAGAAACAGGGTTTATTGGTTTGAAAAGCAGTGTCATAAAATTGGGAAAGGAAGAGCTAGTGCTCTAAAGGTCAAACACTTTGCTAATGTGGTCATTATCATCATTATTAATTTATATAATTACAATAATAATAATTCCTGTTGTTTGTACAATAATTTTTTACCACTTGGGAGCTCAAAGTACTAAAATACTTCAACAGTTTTACCTTTGCTAGCATATTCAATAAAGGCGAATGTGGAGTAGTCATCCCTGTTTTTCATGTAAAGAAAGTAAGAGAGAACTGAACTACTTATGCAAGACTATACAATAAATAAATTAGTGGCAGTGTTTACAAAATGTTTTTGCATAGAGTCTCTTTTCTCTTTGTTCCATGATATTCTCTGGTCTCATAAGCCAAGAGCACGGCATAGTAACTCAGACATGGTAGTAATGTGAACTTCATCAAAAGTCATGAATAATCTTCCTCAGTCTTTTTTATTCTGTTTATCATCTCTCTCTCTCTCTCTCTCTCTCTCTCTCTCTCTCTCTCTCTCTCTCCCCCTCTCTCTCTCCCCTTTAATCCAATTTAAGAGCCAGGATGTTTGTTTTAAAAAATCCACCATAAAAATGAAATAATCAAAGTGAAAATTTCTTTGTTATTTTAAATTCCACCTCTTACATTTTTTTTTGGTTTTATTGTTGTGTTGGGTGGGGGTAGCTTGTGGTATTTACAAAAGTTCTTACAATACTCCTTACTGTTAATAAGTGTCTCCTTCGATATATTTTGCTATGGTACATCTATATAGTTTTATTTTTTTTAACTGGGATGTATAATACATATTATTCTGCAGTATTTTTTTCATTAAATATATCATTGGTCTTTTTCATGTTAAAACATACAGGTTTAACTCTGACTCTTGTCATGTTAATAACTGCATTTTTTTTCTGTCTTGACTAAAATTCACTATAGAACAGACACAACTTTTCTTATAACTCCCAATTCTACATAGCAATCATGTACTTCTAATAATTTTATCATATTTACTAAAGCATAAATTATTATTTTTCACCTGGCATGCATTGACACCCATTGAGAAGTCCTTCCCTCCCCGTATTTCCCCCAAGTTTTGCTCACGTCTGCTATATGCATCTCCTTTCTTCTGCAGCAGATGAATAGCAAGCATTCAGAGATGAGGAGACAGGAATCAGTTTGAGGAGCTTCTTAGGCACAATTGTGCAAAGAAGAATAAACTCCTCATGGAGAAGTATTTTTATATTGCAGTAATTGCCATTTAGGAACAGGTGCTTGGAATCCTGCTCAAGGGAGAAGTTAGAATGGAAGAGGTTGGGGAGGAAAAAGGGGAGTTTCCTTGGCTACCACCCCATGGGAAAATCCCAGGAACAAGGGAGGAGATGAAGCAGTCCCTGGAGCTACCAGTACATCCCAGTGCCTTCAGCAGAAGCAGAGTCCTGTAGAGATGACAACACCATTAGCTTATGAGACCATGTTCCCTATTCAGTGTCCAGTACAGCTGGGATGGACTGATGGTATGGCAGGGACCAATATGATAATGTCACTTCCTGGTCCTACAATATCAAGTAATAAGTCCTTTTTGTTTCTATAAGCAAAAATTATGTATTGTGAAATGTTTTTAAGTTTTCAAGAAATCTACACACTCCTGAATTCATTTGGGGTCCCACGGTGCTTTAGGCGGTATGGGTATCCTTTGCCTTATTGATAGATGGAGAAACTTAGATCAGAATTAAAATGATTTGTCCAAGTCATAGTCCTCTTTAATCTGATTCCACAGCAGGTCTCCTCTATACGAATACTTCGTTTCCCTCCAGCCCTCATATATCACACAGGTAGCAATCAGGAAAAAAAAGTGAATGCCACTGATCTTACAGGCATGAGAAATAACCTCAAAGTATTTAAAATAGCAGCATCATAGTTGAACTCCTTAGTCAGTTCTGACTTATTTCATTTTCTCTAGGTTTTGAGTTTGTTTACCAACTATTATAATTCAAGAGAACAGCAACTTAACCAATCAGGCATAAACTAAGTTGATCTACATGATAAAACTACATGTTTTAGTAACATGCAGTTTTAGAGGTAAAGTAAATGGGAAAAAAAGTTGAGGTAATCTCATGCAGAAAAGATTTTCTGTAGCATCACTGAAACGTAGAGATAAATATGGGGATTGACAGAGTGAGTCACGTGGAAGAGTGCCTGCATAGCAAGCAAGAGGCTGAGTTCAAACTCCACTACTATCAAAAAAAAAAAAAGTAGAGGTAAATAAGGGTTCAAAGACTTAGATTTTGGACTGGAAGCATGGCTCCAGTGGTAGTGTGCCTACCTCGCAAGTGCAAAATCCTGAGTTCAAACCCCAGTACTGCCAAAAACAGACTCAGGTTCTTAAGGTTCTTAGAAGGAGCCTCTGGTAATTTCTTGTGTGTAATCTTACATGTAACCTCCAAGTTTGATTTGGAAATACATTAGAAAATTACAAGGTAAGAAAAATTAGAAACTCATGGTTCAAGTTATCACAAGTTTTATAGCCTGTTTTAAATTCTACAGCCTGTTTTGAATTCTAGGAATAGGCTTAAATCATGTACTCGAACAGTGCCTAACCCTATAGCTGTACACAGCTGACTCAACAAATAATAGCTAACACTTCACATAGCACTTCCCACAGGCCAGGGACTATTATAGGGACTTTCCATGTAGTGCCTTCATTTAATCCTTACAAAAGTCCTAGAGATAGGCTCTGCTAGTCTCTGCTTCATTGTATGAACAAGAAAACCAAATTGCAGAGAAGTCAAATTGCTTGACTAAAGCTAGGCATCAAGAACCAGGATTGTCCTCAGTAGTTGGGGATCAGGATATGTTCTAAACCCAAATAATACACTATCATCTGAATGTCTTTTATTCCTCAGAAATATCTGTTTTGCCTAAGAAGTGGATGTGGTGTGCACTGTGACATAACCCGTTTACTTTCTTCCTCAGGCAAGCTGTGGTGAGGGCCAGGAAGAGAATTTGTTTGGAGCCATGGGTTATTGGCCTTATCACCTTTATATCCCTGATTGTCCTTGCAGTATGCATTGGACTCACTGTTCATTATGTGAGATATAGTAAGTATGAGCTGCCCTGGCATCATGAGATTTACTCCAAATATCTCCTCCTATACCTTCCTGCTTTGATTTGCCTCAAGCATGTTTATTCATTTCTGTGATTCATTTGCATAGCTGGGGCAAAGAAGTCTTGAGCTGTTTTGTTTCCATTTAATCCCCACAAGGCAAGGAGGATTCATTCTTCCATTTTTGATGTAGCAATGCTTCCTGCTGGGAATAGCATGCTAGTTTTCATATTAATTAGTTAGTGATAATGGAGTCTTAAGTAGAGGAAGACCACACTTTAGAAAGACCAATGTCTTTTTAAATATGTTCTTTTTTTCCTGTCTCTTTATTCATGTATATTAATTGTACAAAAAGGGTTCATGGTGAATCCAATGTCTTGAGTTGTTTGAGGTCACAGGGCAGTTACCTTGATTTAAAATAATTCCTACTCTAGAAATACTGACATTGCAATAAATTAGTTACATAATTAAAAATCATACAGCAGTGGGCTCTATTCTGTACTAACAAGTTGGAAAAATGCTCATAGGGATATATTGTTGAAAAGTGCCCATTTCTGTTATTTAAAAAAAATCTCATGTTAGGATATATTTCAAGAGATTAAGGAGGACAGGTTATATTGAGAAGGTTAATTATAAAGAGGTTCAACTGTGAGGTTATCAGATATCTCACTGGTCAGATGAACTTCTAGTTGCTATGTTATTAGAAAGGTCTCCAGGTACTTCAGAACTTTTCTTCCAGGGTGTAACAACTCTTCTGAAGTTTCCTTATGCTCTGTCTTAGTTTTTAATTAGTTGTCTCAACTATGACCTGTTCGTTTAATATCTCCCTCAGTGACTAGATTATGCTTTGATGTTCAAAGCCCTGAAACCATAGAAGCTAATCACTTGATTCTAATTTAATTGGGAATTTGATAAAGGTGCGTTCTTGTAAAGAGTAAGAGTGAAGTATAATAGGGTTATCTTCCTCCATTTTCAATCAAATCCAATCCCAATTTCCAAAGTGCTGTGGATCACTTGTGGGTAGTTTAAAGAAATATTGAAAACAGGATTTTTTTGTGTATGTGGAAGAATTCATCTTTAAATTTGGGGATATCTTGATTTCGAGGGCAGAGATTTCTCTGGAACATGCTTTTAATATAAAAGAATTGCTGAAATAATTTTATAATTCTACAAACCTGGCATAAATATATTCAGTCTCATTGTATTGTAAGAATCATGGCTTCTGTCCCCATGGATGCCTAAGACTGTGGTTCATTCACATTTATGTTTCCAAAACTTTGCAGAACTCTAGCTCATATTAGGTACCTTTTAAGTTATTTGTCAGATACTGAATAACAAAATTAATGATTCATATCTGTAATATTTACTTAGGATTGTCTAGCTTCACATGAAATTCCTAGTAATGCTAGGGGCCTAATCAACTTGGTGGAAGAAAATTCCTTGCTGCTTCTTTGCCTCTTCTCAACCTTTATAAGGTTATAAGTCTTATTCATGTATGTACAATGAAAACCTGGCAGTTTTTTTTCTAATAACATGTTCCTGTGTTCTATTGTTTGGATATCAGTTAAGAAATACAGAACATACAACTTCCACTGCCCACACAGTACACCTGAATAAACAATGATTATTGCAATGTGCATTACTGTCTTATATTTGTTACTTGCCTTCTGTTTGGGAATGTAAAATAAAAATATAATAGATATAGTGATGAGCATTTAGGAGATGGTAAGCCAAAATAATCAAGCCAAACCAAATAGCTGTTGTGGAAATAGATACAGATGAATCTGATCATATTTTGAAAAACACCACTTTTACAAAGCCCAGGACATTTTAGAATTCTGTGTGTAGTTTGGGAACTCCATTTATGCCCCTATGTGATCTGGATGTCAGAAGGTAAATCTGTTAATGAGCAACATAATTGTAAGTTAAAGAAACACAAACCAATTAGAAATTTATCAGCAAACTCATGTTCATTTATACTTTTCTTACTTTTTCTGATAGTGTGCCCAGTAACATCTTTCAGCATACAATTCTAGAAACCAGGAATATGTTTTAACACTTTAGTTACCTGCATAAGTCTACAGAACAATGTAAAATATTGAGTATAGGAAAGTTGTTCATGCGATTGAACTATTTGAAGTTAACTATATGAAATTTTACCATGTTTCAGTTATGCAAATGACAACCTCAAATGACTCAATCTAATAATTCCAAAAAGCCAAGCCTAAAGATATAGAGGGGTGGTGTGTTCTTTTCTAGAAGCTTTCTATTTAAGTTGTGGTTAAAGACCAGCCAGATTAGCATCAGCTTGAAGCATGTTAGAATCATAAAACCTCCAGTCCAATGTTAGACTTAATGTATCAGCATCTGTATTTTAACAGGATCCCCAACTACTTCATTTGTGTATTGTAGTTTGAGAAGCAGCATTTTAGAACAATGACTGTAGCTACATGAAAAATTACAGTTAACAATGGGACAGATGTTAAAAATGCAAATACAATAGTTTACAAAGATAGTTATTTATGATATTTCAATAAATTAAAAACCTTACTTAAAATTGTGCACATTGTCAGAGAGCTTCCTGCATTTCATGGCACCCTGGCCACTTAGACAAAGTCTTTATTATCCCTCACTTAAGTCACGAGTGCCCAGGGGACCTGGGCTTCCTGTGTCTCTAGCCTGCCATCCCTCTACATATACCACCAGCTAGCTACTCTGCAGGTCTTGTCAAAGTCTGACCAACAGCTTCTATTGCGGATGATCAGTGTGTTCTTTTAAATTTACCAATGGTTATTTCATAAATTTTATATTAAAAATTCCATAGTTTCAATAAATGGGTTTGGCTTTTTTCTACTCCAGGAAGCTCTGTATAAAAGAAATCTGTGCTTCAGGAGATAGACCATGGCTTGAAAATTAATTCTGTCTTTACTGCCTATGTCACATTAGGATTGGGCTAGTTCTTTATATCTCTGAGATTGGACCCCCCAAGTGTGAATAATATGGACTTCCTATGGGTTCATGTAAATTAAATGAGATATATAAATAAGACTGATATACTGATGTTCAATGTTTTCTTTTCCTATGAATTTTATGTGAAGAAGAAAAGAATGGGAAGAGGGAAGAAAGAGATTAAGATTGGATGAGGCATTTTCCTATAGTAGCCAATTTTCCTATAAAAATCATTTTCAACTGCTTTGGTCACTATCATGTTTCTAATGCTTGGTATAGTGTCTCTCACAGAAAAGTAGTTAGTACTAACATTCCTTGAATGAATAAATGAGTATCTAAAGGCTCTGTGCTTGCTTCATGTGTCAGAGGGAGGAGGAAAAACTATACTGCATTAACTTTTCGATAGGCCAAAAATGTGGGCTGCTTATATAGGATGAAAAGAGTAGAAACTATGGCTAAGGGACAAACAAGATATGCCCAACAGCTGGTGGGAGAAAGTAAATACAGTGCATGGGATCCAAGTGAAGCTACACAGTGTCCCTGGAAAGTTATGCCAGGTGACAGCTCCAGCTCACTAAACTTGGATTTACCAAATTAGTAGCATTTTAATTCCACCACTCATCTCCATCTTCAGCTAAAATAAATTTCCTCACACTAGAGTCTGCATGGCCAAAATCGATGTGTAGTTTATTCAACTGAGGAAGGGAGTCTACTTTTTGAATATAAAAAATTCAATCTGGAGAAGCTCCTGAACCTATCTCTATTCATACACCCAGATAGCATGACTTGATACCTTTTATGGCTAATTTGGGAATGGATAACACAGGAGTAATCAGTCCATGGCTGCAGCACAGTATTTTTTCTGACACTCTAAGAATGCCAAGCACTTTTTTACAGCTTTTACACTGTAAAATCATATGTGATGATTAATGTTGTCTTTTATTCTGAGCTGACTCTGAAGCATGATGAGGCTGATGACTTGGGGCAGGAGCATTTGTTCCTGCCTTTCTAGCAACTATCAAATGGGATAATAATGGTATTTTACAAACATCTGATAAAGGTTATGATAAATTTTTGCCTCTTTTCTTGTAGATCAAAGGAAAACCTACAATTACTATAGCACATTGCCATTCACAAGTGACAGACTATATGCTGAGTTTGGAAGAGAGGCTTCTAAAAATTTCACAGAAATGAGCCATAAAATTGAATCAATGGTAAGTAATTTCTTCTCCATGTTTAGGGCATTTAATGTCACTTTTACCATATATTTTAGATCCTAGCTTCAAAATATCCACTTGATTGATCCTAAGGGGTAGAAAACCAAACTGACAATGTATGGCTTAGAAGAATATGCTTTTCAAGGCTAAGCCAAGTGACATTTTATGTCCCTCTTATTCACCTTTGCTTAGATGGTACAATTTTTTTTTCAGTACTGGGATTTGAACTCAGGTCTCATGCTTGCTAGGCAAGTGCTCTACCACTTGAGCCACTCTACCAGCCTCAGCATCATGCATCATTTTTGATCTGCAGAGTCCATAGAATCTAAGAATGTGAGGGTGACCCAATATGTTTGTTGAACTCTAGGCTTTCTAAAGAAGAGACCCTGAGCAAAAAATTTCCAAGATTGGAACTGCACAGACACATATGTAAATAGTATTTTACCTTTAAACACTCTCTAACCTTGGACCAGTTTTTGGTTCATAAGGCTACAGGAAATCTGTGGATATTCATCTTTACCTTTAAGGCAACAGCATCTATCCTGAATGATGAATGCAATATTTTTTAAGAAACAGGTTGATTCAAATTGGAGTTAATATACATAGGACTCTATTTACCTTTAAAATTATTCATATGTTGAGATTACTTGATGAAAGTAAAAGCTTAAGTAAAAATTTCCAAGAAAATATTTAGAGAAGTTATTTGTACTGTGCTGATTTGTCTCATAATTGTAGGAACTGCTCCAGGGTACAAAGACTCAGAAGTCAATGAAATGTAAGAAAGAATAAAAGGCTCATTTTTTCTGTTAATCCACATCAGTTTGTAGTAACTGTGTCTAATGAATATCCACACACTGAAAACAAGAAATAATTAAAATGTTCCTACTTCTAAAAATTAAGTTCACTAGGATTTGTATTTATATTAGTAAGAAATGTCTCCACAATATAATTCTCCTATCTTATTAGAATGAGCTTCCTAGATGTGGTTGTTAAGTACCCCAATTCATGGACCTTTCTAAAAGCACTTCAGTGCTGAGCTTGGTGCACATTATAGGGTGCCAGGTATCAACTTTTTCTTTAGTTTGGGAAGCACATAATACTGCTATGCACTCATTTCTATGACCCGATTATCCCTAGTAGAAATATTTTTTCCTTTATCTATCTACGGTAAGAGTCCTTATCTCAGGCTATAAACATTTACTCTGACTTGTAGAGAAAAAGCATGCTCATTTTCTTGGATGTCTGTCTGAGTAGTAATGTACCTTTGGGCCTCACTTATGGTGCCCAGTTCCTGTCATTCGTAAGGCACAGTTCAGTTCAAATTACTGGGTAGAATGCCAAGAAAGATTCCTCAAGTCCAATACATTGTGAAATGTGGGTCAATGCTTTTTGTTTTGTCTTGTATTTTAGTTTCCTTAGAGTTTTGAATTAACTTTCAGAATTTCAGAAAATTGTTCTTATTAACACATTTTAAATATTTTAAACAGGTGAAAAATGCATTTGATAACTTTCCACTAAAAGGAAAACTTGTCAAGTCTCACATTATCAAGTTCAGGTATGTAGATCTAAAATGCTGTATTTTGAATTTAATTTAAAGTTGACACTCTTAATCCATTCACAAATATTTATCTGTCCCTGTTCTATGAAAGCCATGGGTTGCAAAGTACCTTCATCATTCTCTAAATGTGAAAGTGAGCATTTGCAAGGTGCTTACTAGGAACAGAAATGTATTGGTGCCCATGCTATAAAACTGTTTTTTGGGAAGCTCTAACCAGCACCAATAGGTAGCTAACATATACCCCTTAAGAGCAAGTAGTGCCCTATATGAAACAGCTGAGTAAATGAGATTTGTCTTTAGCTCTTGGTTCTCCTCATCAATTTTTAAAATTTTCTTCTATTGTACCTCTTTATGCTCCAAATATTTAGCAAAACAGGGTTGCTGAAGCAGTTAAAGGGTTTATGATAGATGACAATAATCTCTTTAGAGTCCTTAAGTTTACAAAAGCAACATAAAAGTTCATTAAATTCAAATAACACCATATTATATTAAATAGAACATAAAAGCCTCCTTTCCACTAATTTCACTTGCAGAAATAACATCAAAAACAGTTTATTGTGAATATCATTGTAATGACTATATATATATATATCTGTTTTATTCTTTAACTGGTTGTATAGTATTTCACTACAAGTATGTGTCAGTGTTGATTTAGCCAATACCCTAGAGATGGACACTGTGTTGTGTGTTTCTAAAACATTTTTTGTTTTAGAAAAAAAGGTTACAATGAACATATTTATATGCATATCCTTGAACACATAAAGAGTAAGTTTGAAGATTTAAGTCCTAACAGTGACAAATGCTGTGGAAGAGAGGATATCTGATATTATATCAGATATATAATGAGTAAATTGAACTGATCTCCCCAAATAAGATTTTCATTTATACTCCAACTAACGATTCAGGGAAGTAAGGTTTGACACACTGAATAGCAAGGAGTAAGGCTCCTTGGGAACTGTGAAAAGGAGGGGGTAAATAAAGTAGTTGGCAGGATGAGTTCAAAGTATCAACTGAAATAAATAGTATTAATGCTAATTAATGCTCTCTCTTGAATATACAAACATGTGAGGACATGCAGTTTGGTGATGTTTTCTAGTGGCTTCAGGATTAAGAGTGGTTTAGGAGAGCCTGAAAATTGCTTAGGAGCAGTTGATGCATTTTTCACAAGAATTAACCCTGAAAACCAAAAGCACAGGCGATTTCATATTTATCACACATTTTATTTGGTAGTTTTGAATGGTTGACAAGGTAAGCATTTTTAAAAATATTAATAACCATGTACTTGACTGGACCCTTTGGTGGTAAGGGATACCATGAGCACACTACCTTATTATCAGGGTGACTAAATTGGGGATTTTGTACACAGCAAACAATTAAAAGACAAAAGGCAGTGTTGAAGAAGGCGGTGCTGAATTTGTCTGCATGTGTTTCAAATGAATAATTAAAAAAGCAGACTATGATAGTATCATAAATCAGTCTTCCTTCCTTCCTTCCTCCCTCCTTTCCTCCCTTCTTCCCTCCTTTGTTTTCTTCCTTCCTTCTTTCTGCCCTTCCATGCTTCCTATTCTCCTTTTCTTTTATTTTTTTGGTGCACAGTGAAGAGGACCATGGGGTGTTGGCTCACATGCTGCTGATTTTTAAATTCCGCTCTACTGAGGATCCGGAAAATGTCAATAAAATTATTGAGCATGTCCTACATGAAAAGCTGCAAAATGCTGCAGGACCCCCTAAGGTTGATCCAGAATCAGTTGAAATTAAAAGTAAGTTGATTTCTCTCATTTTGTTTATTTCTCTTACACAGAACAATCGATGTTAAATTTGGGCACTAATTAAAAAATTAATTTTGGTAGTACTGGGGTTTGAACTCAGGGTCTTGCACTTACCACTTGAGCAACACTCCCAGCCCCTTTTTACTTTAGTTAGTTTTTGAGTAGAGTCTTGCATCATCCTAACTATGCTTCTCACATAGCTGGGCACACCACCACATTCAGTTTTTTGGTGGAGGTGTGGTCTTGCTAAGTTTTTGTCTGGGCTAGCCAGCGGTCTTCATGATTTCCAACTCCCAAGTAGCTGGGATTACACATGTGTGCACTACATTCAACCTAAATTTTTTTTGAAAACTTTCAATTCTGGGGTCTTGCCATCAACAGGTTATTATTTTGGAACTAAATTGGTCCTAATGAAGTATTTTAATTTTTAAAAGTACCCTAAATGATGATTTTAATGCAAACTTGTCATTAACTCTAGGGCAGAATATTCTATATTGTGTCCTATAGTTTGGCTACAGAATCCAGTTATAAGTGGAGAAATTGGCTTTGTATATTCTTCTTTTTACTGCTGCTTCTCTTTCAATATTCTGAGAGTTCAATGAATGGAAAGGTTCATGCTATCTGCATATTTATTTTCAACTGTTATTAATTTTCCTTATTATAGATGTTTTCTTAGATCATTTACCAATAAAAGTGATAATTTAATTGTACTTATTATTTGATCTTTTACAACTACAATTGAAAAGTCTGAGCTAGGGTTTTTGTTTATTTGTTTGTTTTTTTCCAGGACCACAAAGGACAAGATAAGTATGTAGGTTCTCACTATTAGAAAGTAAGACTCATGAGATCCTGAGTGGAAATAAAGGTCTAGTTAAGGACTGAGTTATATGTTATAGATAAATTCTGCAGGCCAAAGTAAAAAAGTAGTCAATTCAAAAAGTAAAAATAAACATAAGAAATTAATATTAATAATTTGTGTGTATAACTCAACATATCCTAAGTATTATATCAACAAGCAGTCAATGTAAAAAGTATTCATGAGATATTTTACATTTTTTGTACTAAGGTTTAAAATCTAACACACATTTTATGTAGCTAGCACATTTTAATTTAGACTAGCTACACTTTAAGAACTCATTGGCTGCATGTAGTGAGGAGATTTAGTAACGGATATGGCAGCATTAGAAACTGGAGAAGAGGGGGCAAGTAGAAAGAATGAATGCAAAGTGCCATTGTAAGCACTAATAGATCTAAGTACATGCCCAAACTGAAGGTCAGTCACTCTGCTTGCTTAGGAAGGAGACTTCAGCTGCAGCAGAACCAGGTACATAATTTGTGCATTCCAGTGAAAAATGAAAATGTCAGACAGTTTTTCAAAAACCAAGAAAAAAGTGCTGTTGAAAGTACTGTTCAAAACAGGACTTTTATTTCTTCATGAGCTCTCCCTCAACTTTTCATACTGTTTTTATTTGCTAATCAATGTCATCCTAAGTGAAAAAAGCTAAAATTTTAAACTACTAATAAGAGTTTTACTGTGCAACTTTTTATATCTTGCAATGCAATTTTAAGTGCAAATGTAAGCACACTTGACTTGTGTGTGGAAATATGAATTATGCAACTGTGTTTTATATTACATTCATACAAGAACAGTAAGTCCAGCATGTCTGTGGATTTCATATCTATGGATTCAAACAAGTGCAGTATAGTAGAAACTAAAAGCATTTGGAAAAATTGTGTTTGTATTAAACATGTATAGACTCTGTTTGTATCATACTCCTTACCAATATAATAATTATTTACATAGCATTTACATTATATTAGATGTTGTAAGTAACCTAGAGATGATTTAAAGTATGGGGGATGTGTGTACATTACATGCCAATCCTAAACTATCTTTGAACATCAGTAGACCTTGATATCCACAGAGATGTCCTGGAACTAATCCCCTACAGATGTCAAAGAAAAAGCGTATTTCATTTTGGTGCCAGATAATGAAAACAGTACACAAGGCTAAGTTGACTATTTTTATTTATCTTCTTAATTTTGGCACATTTTACCAAAGCTTTAAACCTGCAGCTTAGTAATGAGCAAGGAAGGACTGAAAGGAAAAGGAGCCCTGGATTTTTTTTATCTTTCCCTTTCTATGTAATTATATTCAGCAGAAGCCATTGGATAATACACAAAAGTAACAACAGAAAGAAAGAATATGATAGGTTCTCTTGTTCATTTGTGTTTATTAGAATGCCATTGCTGTTTTTCTGGGTTCTAAGCAAGTTCAGGTTCAAACAGAAAACATGACCTCCTGAGGTTGTCAGTGCCCACCTCCCTACTTAGTGCTAGGCAAAAAGCACACTTACACTTGCTTTGCTGAGCCTCTCGCACATTGTGGGTTCGTGAGAATTCTGATTTCACTGGGCATCATGAATGCCATATGCAAATGAGATGGCAAGAAACTATGGTCACACAACTTACATGTGCCCCCTCTGTTCATATTATCCTATTGGACTTCACTTTCAACACAAATTGCAAGATAAAATTATCAAGAACTTCAGGCCAGCAACAATAGAGCACTAAACCAAGAACAAAGCCATTCTTAGTGTGGGACCCCATGAGATTGCACAAGTCACACATCATGAAGTCTGCCTTGCCCGTAGTATCAATATAGAGAGCCAGAACTTTCAATAGGAAGAGTTTGAGATAGATAAAAACATGTATTTAAAACAGAGACTGTAAAGTAGCTCAACAGTAACTGAAAGGGCTGGTAAGCATGGTTCAAATGCTAGAGCACCTGACTAGCAAATGTGAGGCCCTGAGTTCAAATCCCAGTACTGGCAAGAGAAAAATAGTTACTAAGGTTAAATGGACAATTCTTCCTTATGTTTGCCATACATGGCTAGATGGAAAATGTCAGAAACAGAAATTTCTAGAATAAAAATCCCAGTAAATCAATAGCATTTGAACATTAAAAGAAAAATTAGCAGATTAATGTTTTGTGTTTAGAACATGCTTCCATGCGTATTCAAAGGGAAGTTTGATCACTGGAATTCTATTGAGTCAGGAAACGTGAGAACTTAGAATACTATGTATCCTTGGTTGGAATAGTGTTTGTATGGAGTTAGGGCCTGACTGCTGAGAAGTCAGCAAGCTGAAGTCATTGGCTTCAGTTAAATGGGAAGTTGAGGGTTGACTATCTTTCTAAAAGCTCAGCAGAAACTCTTAGGACTAGCATTGTTTTTTAAAAAAAAGTGATGACTAATTCATGGAAATGCCACTCAGATGTGTTATACAAGTGAGAAGCTATGCTTATGAACTTAATAAGATAATTTGAAATATATGCTAATAAAAATATTAAATTTAAGGAATCAGTACAATATTCAGAATGGTATTGCCTCCAAAGGGGCCATCTGCATATTGTTTCCTGGCATGAAATACATATTCTTGGGCTTCATATCAAAACTATTCAATTAGAATTACTGGGCAGTGAAACAGCCTTTGACAGTATAAATATGCTTCTTATGTGACTCTGATCAATTTACATGACTTTAATAGACTGTTTAGGGCACATTGTTCATGTCTCCTCTCATATCCACAGCAATGAAAATACTATGACAATTAACAATATTGTTTTCTTTATAACTTAGAGATACTATTTTTAAATTTTTTATTTTATTGTTTTTACACTTATTTACATGTGTATACATTATTTGCTGCCCTCTCCTTCCCAACTGCCACTGGGCAGAACCTGTTCTACTCTTCTGTTCTCTGCTTTTGTTGAAGAAAACACATACACAATAAAAAGAAAAACACAGCGGTTTTGCCAGATTGAGCTGAAGATAGCTATACAGGGAATTTCCTTGTGTTGTTTTACCCAACCTCTTCATTTCTTCCTAGTCCCCTTCCCACAGTGGTCTCTGCCAGTTTAAGATTATTATATTTGCTCCTCTACAGTGAGCATATCAACCACATTCAAGTTTTAAGTTTCCTTCCCTTTCCCTATTCCTCCCATGTACATTCTCCCCTTATTGTGTGATCCATGTCCAATAATATTACTGCATTTATTTTAGGTCTATAATCTGCATATGAGGGAGAACATGTGATTTTTGGCCTTCTGAGCCTGGCTAACTTCGCTTAAGGTGATGTTCTCCAGTTCCATCCATTTACTTGCAAATGATAAAATTTCATTCTTCTTTGTGGCTGAATATAATTCCATTGTGTATAAATAACACATTTTCTTAACCCATTCATCAGTAGTGGGGCATCTTGGCTGTTTCCATAGTGAATAGTGCTGCAATAAACATGGAGGTGTAGGTTCCTTTGTAGTAACCTGAGTTAAATTATCCCTAGGTGTGGTATTGGTGGATCATATGGCAGATTCATGTTTAGTTTTTAAGCATCCATATTGTTTTCCATAGTGGTTATACTAGCTTACATTCTCACCAGCAGTGTATGAGGGTTCTTTTTCCCCTTATCCTTGCCAACATTTCTTGTTGGTGGTGTTTTTTATTCTAACAAGGTTGAGGTGGAATATTAGTGTGGTTTTGATTTGCATTTCCTTTATGACCAGGGATGGTGAGCATTTTACATGTGTTTTTTAGCCATTTGTACTTCTTCCTTCCTTTGTAAAAGTTCTGTTTAGTTCAATTACCTACTTCTTTATTGGTTCACTGACTTTTGGAGGGTTTAGTTTTTTGAGCTCCCTATATATTCTGGCTATCAGTACCTTGTTTGATGTATAGCTAGCAAAGATAGTCTCCCATTCTTTGGGTGGTCTCTTCAATTTAGAGACCATTTTCTTTTGTTGTGCAGAAGCTTTTTAATTTCATGTAGTTCTATTAGTCAATCCTTTCTCTTAGTTGCTGAGCCTCTTGATTCTACTGAGGAAGTCTTTGCCTATACCTATTGCTTTCAGTGTAATCCCTGCTCTTTTCCTGTACTAAATTCAAGATTTTGGTCTGATATTAAGGTTCTTAATCCACTTTGAGTTGATGCTA